TCTTTTTATGTATGAAACTTTTATTTATGAAACTGGAATTTTGTCCACTTTTAGGATAAGAGACTGGGATCTTCACTGGGTTTTGTCACGCTGGGTTTTTGTCATGGATTAGTTTAATTTGGTGTGCTTTAGTGGAATATTTTATAGTTGTATAAAGAAAAATCTCTGAAGATATTATTTCATTAAAAAAAAAAAATGTAATATCAAGTGTGAACATACGGAAAATTCGTCCCGAACCATACCAAAAATAATTCAATAAAATTTTAAAAATAAATTTTTCCACCAGTTGTTGCTTGCATAATTCAATAAAACATTATTTTCTTTCAGATTAGACAGGAAAAAATCTACACTTAATATTATTTTTTAAAATATTGATTGTAATTTTTCACTGGGATTTTAAAATTCATCCAGTTGTTGTTCGTAACAAACGTTTTCTTTTTGTTAATTAACTAAAGATATGTTTGAAGAAACGCAAAATGTAAGGTCATTTTCGAGCGGAATCCTTTTTTTTTTTTTCATTTTAGCAACTGTTAGATTATTTTTTTTTTGCATAGATGTTCAAAAAGGAATTAATTCTGAATTACATTCTTTGACTACTTTTCCCTATCGGAAGAGTAATATGACTTTACAAGACGTAAATAGATGTTATTTTCATTATGTTTTAAACAAAAAGTAAGAACTAGGTATACAAAATCCAGTTAATTAATTCTTAAATTTACTGATTTCAAAACACATCTCTATGACAAATATTGAATTTAAAAGAAATTTTTAAATTTGTTGCTTACATTTTTCATCTGTAATGGCGGTTTGATGAGTCGATGAGTGACGAGTGAACGTAACACTGTTTAAAAATACCCAAAATCTTTATATACAGAAATTAATTTTTCTTTTAATTCAGATTACCTTTAGGCTATTATCTTTCGAGTAAAACTGAAATGCAAATTTAAAGAAGGCATTTAAATTATTTAAAATGTGTTGTCCGGATTTTTTTGGTAAATTTCTATTTTAACACCCGCGCTAAATATCGCTCAAATTTTTCCAAAATCGTCATAATTCCGTGCAAATGTACATGCTGAACTCGAATTAACAATTAAATTATGAAGAAATCTACCGTTTTGGAGTTATCGACAAGAAAAAATCGGACTTCTTGTTGGTCATTCGTCCCCCATTACTGCCATAGTGTTTAGTAATACGGTGCAGGGTACTTACGCTGGCGTAATCAGAAATTGTGGCCTATTTACTTCTTTTACAGTATATCTCTTTTTAAAATCCCTACGCATTATCGTATTTTTTTTTCCTTTTGATAAGTGTAGTCTTATTTATAACAGGAAACTTTAAACAAAAACAAATTAAATAATACAATAAAACCTTTTTTTCTGTGTAGAATAGCAATGACAAATTAAAAGAACAAATTAAATAATGAAAATAAAGCATTTTTTATTTTAAAATTGAAAATAAAACAAAAATTAATGCACAAACATGGTAAAGTAGAAGGGTTGATTGCATTATTTAATTTTTTTTTAATTTGTTCCTTTTTCTACACCGAAAGAAAGCCCCACCCTAACTCTAAGACCTAACCCTAAAGTTAAGCCGGTTTATTTTATCATTTAATTTTTTTTTAATTTGTCCTCTTTTCTCCATAGAAAGAAAACCTCATCCCTAACCTTAACACCCAACCCTAAAGTTAATCTGTGTAGAAAAGGGGACAAATTAAAAAAAAATACAATAATGAATAATTTACCAAGTTTGTGCATTAAGTTTTTTTTATTTTCAATTTTAAAATATAAAGAATGCTTTATTTTTATTATTTAATTTGTTCTTTTAATTTGTTCTTTTAATTTGTCATGGCTATTCGAAACGGAAAATGGTTCTATGTTGATGTTATAAATAAAACTACACTTACCAAAAAAAAAAAAAAAAAAATTACATTTCTTTACAGTAGTGCGTAGTAATTTTCTGCAAGGAAAGTCTGTAAAAGAAGTAAATAGGCCAAATTTTCTGATTACGCCTGTGTAGGTACTACGCACTGAATTAGTAATCATGATGGCAGTACTGGGGGACGAATGACCAACAAGAAGTCCGATTTTTTCTTGTCGTTAACTCCAAAACGGTAGGTTTCTTCATAATTTACTTGTTAATTTTAGTTCAGCATGTACATTTGCACGGAATTGTGACGATTTTCGAAAATTTTAAGGGATATTTAGCGCGGGTGTTAAAATAGAAATTTACTTTTTTTTAGGAAGTTGACAGCGGTACATAGCTTGTTATCGCGATTAAAAATCTTTAAAATATAAAGTACAAAGGATTATAAGTCTAACGAAAATAGTTAATTTAAAGATTATTCAAAAAACTATATACAAACTGCACTTCACTTGAAAATATACAGAAATCCATTTTCTTATATTGGCAATTGCATGTGTATCAATGTATGCCAAAAATAACGGATGGCATTGTCTAACTCTAGTGTTTCATAAAAAAGTCATTTTATTTTACAAAAAATTGATACCTACTGTTTTCTGGAGATTTATGTTTATATGTTGTTTATATGCTGTTTATATCTTGCGATGCAAAATATTCTATTATCATCGTAATAAATTCGTACAAAGTAAAAGGGAATTAACTTAAATAATTTTTTTCCATCGTTTTAAGATTTTATTATTGGGATACTAATTAACTAATGAGGGAATTGTAAATTTTACACTAAAATGTAACGAGTATTAAGTTAAATTCTCTGCCTGATACTCCTTAGGTTTGGAACTAAAGAGTACGTGCCAGCTTAAAATTTAATTGAAAACTGTTGCCAATCAATATTTTGAAGACAACTGTACTATGATGGGCACTACTGAGTATCAAGTTCGATCTTTACTAGATGCACCATACATGGCTTTGTGCCAAACTAAGCTTAGTAAATAATATTCATCCCTAACGCCATCTATATATATAGAAGTGGATCGCCCCCAAAGAAATGCTTTTTATTTTATTACGTTGTCGGAAAATAATGTTCCATTTTAGAATAAACATTTTAATTGTGTCCTAGTATATTATTATAATAGTTTCACAAAAATATATTATTCATTCCTAATGATTAAAGTTTGTTCTTTGTTCATTTTCTATCAATTTAATTTAGAATTTAAATTAAAACATTATACACCCCTCATCTTGAACATGAAAAAAGAATAGATGCGTTTACTTTCTTTTGCGTGAGATCAAGTTTGCTCATAATGCTTTTCAAACTGCTACCATCATTAACATAGAAAGGGTGCAATTACTATCGGAAAGTACGGCACTGGTTTCTGAAGTTCCGCAGTCGAGATACAAGTTTTGAATATCAAGGTCGTCCATCTGCAATCGACAATCAACAGCTGAAAACACTGGCCAGATAATAGGTGTCAACTTTTCAACAATATCGGACCATCTCAAGAAAAATGACAAAAAAGCACGATAAATGGGTTCTACATAAACTCAGTAAAATTCAAAGAATTCAACGTTTTGAAGTTTGTTCGATGCTACATCTGCAAAATTCGAATGATCCTTTTCTTGATCGAATAGTAAATTGTGATGATAAATGGATTCTTTATGACAATCGTAAACAATCGGCTCAATGGTTTGATCATGATGAAAGACCCAAACATTTTCCAAAACGAAAATTACACCAACAGAAGATTACAGTGACTGTCTGGTGGTCCGTCATTGGCGTTATCCATGACACCATTTTGGAATCTAATCAGAGCATCGCCGCAGACGTTGACTGCCAGCAACTAAGATGAAGTGCACATTCAGTTAAGCAAAATGTGACTGGCACTGGTTAATAGTAAGTTTTATTTTTGCTTCATTACAATGCTCGCTACATATTGCCAGGATGATTCTTCTGATCTTTCGCCTACTGACTACCACTTTTTCACTCATCTTGACAATCTTATGAGCTAAAATACATTTCGTTGCAAAGAATAGGCAGAAGCTGTATTCAAAGATTTCTTGGCGTTCCATGCGTTATCGAAAAATCTTGTAACCTTGTTACTCGATAGCAGAAATGTATAGATGTTCAGGATTCCTATTTAAACACTATTTAAATACATTAATTCAGTAATAAAGGTTGAGTCTAAAAAAATTAAAATTAAACGTAATTATCACTAAAAAATGGACAATATGCACTGGAAAAAAATATTGCTTAGATGGAAATTAACTGGAAGCCCAGTACGAATCCTTCTGTTTACACAGAGAGGGCTTCAACAATAAAATATAAATGGTCTCCAACACTTTCAAGTGGTAATTCGAGTGGGACTTGCTAAGAATTGTAAATGAGTCCTCACTGAAACTAGTAACACAATTATGGCTATTTATTAGGAGTTCCACGATGGAAGACTCATACGTATTGGTCAGATTGCGGATTTTCGTTGGAACGTGTTGCTTTATTCTGACATCCAGCCTTTGAGTCGTTCTCCTTATGTAGTGAGAACCACAACTACATTTAAAGGAATAAATTAAAGAACTATTAATGTGGAGGGAGAACATCCTTACAAAATAACAATGTAGAACTGCTACAGAAACCTGCTTAGTATATCTATCTTTGATATTACCCAGCCAAGGCAGACGTAAGGAAAATCCGCAAGTACACTTCTTGCCAGAACTTGTGCAACAGTTTGTCAATAGTTTTGAGAACGAGCGGGCAACCTCTGTCACGGTGAAGTGGGCGACCTTGTGGGACACCTTGCCTTGGCCACCTTTGCGAGAAAGTCCTCAAAGTCATATGACTGTTTTGAGACAAAGTCCTGTCATTGTGACAGCAAGAGAAACCTGCAGATCATCCGGGTTGTCAGGAGCAAAGCTCATCAAACTGCCAGACGCTGCGCCAAAGAGTACTGGACAGAGCTTAGCGTAACCATCCAGACAGCAGCAATTACAGGGAACATCAGATGTATGTACGATGGCATCAAGACGGCAATGGGACAGCTCCTCTCAAATCCACCACCGGGGAAATCATCTTAGACAAGGGGTAACAGATGGACAAATGGGTGGAACACTATTCCGACCTTTACTCCAGGCAGAATGTTGTGACGACTGCAACCCTTGATGTCTTTAAGTGCCTGACGGTCATGGAGGATTTCGATACCGAACCGACCACAGAGGAACTTAACAAGACCATTAACAGCTTCGCCTCAGGGAATGCCACTGGCAGTGATGAGATCCCCCCTGACCTGATCGGGCACTGCAAAACTGCCCTACTGCTCCCATTGCGCGAGATCCTCTACCAGTGCTGGAAAGAAGGTGCCGTATCTCAGGACATGAGAGATACCAAGATCGTCACCCTCTACAAGAACAAGGGTGAGCGAAACGACTGCAACAACTACAGAGGCACAGTGTTGTGGGCAAAGTTTTCGCTCGGGTCATATTGCTCCGCCTGCAGAAACTCGCCGAACGTGTCTACCCAGATTAGCAGTGTGGTTTCCGACCTGAAAGATCAACGGTAGACATGGTTTTCTCCCTCCGTATGCTCCAGGAGAAGTGTAGAGAACGGTAGATGCCCCTGTACGTCTCTTTTATCGATCTCACCATGGCGTTCGATCTCGTCAGCAGAGAAGGCCTCTTCAGGATCCCGCCCATGATTGGCTGCCCACCCAAGCTGAAGAGCTTGATTGAGTCCTTCCACAGCGACATGCGGGGAACTGTGCTTTTCAATGGCAGCGCCTCTGAGCCCTTCAACATCTGCAGTGGGGTCAAACAGGGCTGCGTCCTCGCTCCCAATCGCTTCGGGATTTTCTTCTAAAGCATGCATACGGCACAGCAAGAGAAGAGATTTACCTGCGTAAGAGATCAGATAGCGTGTTGTTCAATCTCGCCCGCCTCAGAGCCAGGACCAAAGTAAGTGTAGAACTTGTCAGAGAAATCCTTTTTGCTGATAATGCGGCAGTAGCGACTCACACCCAGAGTGAACTTCAGTCACTGATGAACCGTTTCTTCTAAACCTGCAGAGACTTCGGGCTGACCATAAGCCTTAAAAAACAAACGTCCTAGGATAAGGAAATGAGCTCGATGCGGTCCCTCAGTTCACGTACCTTGGCTCTACCATTACTGAAAATCTCTCCTTAGACGCAGAGATTGACAAAATAATCGGAAAGACAGCCGCAACACTTGCGTGCCTCCCAACACGTGTGTGGACCAATCCTAAACTGTTGGTGAAGACCAAGATGGCAGTGTAAAACGCCTGCGATATGGCAGCGAGGCTTGGACCACGTGCGCCAGGCAAGAAAGGCGTCTGAACACCTTTTACATGAGAAGAATTCGCCACATCCTGGGAATAGCGTGGCAAGACAAGGTGCCCAACACTGAGGTCCTGTCTCAGGCAGGTTTTCCCAGCATGCCATACTGCTCAGACAGCGCAAATTCCGTTGGTTGGGTCACGTTCATCGCATGCCAGACGGCCGCACCCCCAAAGACCTTCTGTATGGAGAGCTGGCCGCTGGAAGGAGACCCGCCGGGCAGCCACAGTTGCGGGACCGCGATATAGTTAGGCGCGACATGAAAGCTGTGGACATAGGATCCAGATGGAAAGGAACCCTAACCAAACACCTCAAGTCAGGGGAAGAGAAGCTAACACAATTCGCCACGAAAAGGCGGGACCGCAGAAAGCAAAGTGACAGATCTAACAGACAAGAGACAGAACACACATGCGACCTCCTCTGCATCAGAGATTGTAACTCCCGCATTGGCTTCTATAGACACAGACATCGATGCCCCAGTCAAGCTAGGATGCTACCCATAGACAACCTCGACCGACGGAGGCCTTTTTTATTTTAGGGTATTAAACCATGTTTAAAAATCGCTACATAATGGTAATTATGTTTCAACACCATAAATGTGTCTCCTCGGGCGATGTTAAACTACTGTCGAGTGAAAGATTGATTTATTTTCAAAAGTAGAATACTTAAAAATTAGTCTTGTGAGCTTTGCCGTGATTAACCAATCGAATGTGACCTACGCTAAATTCAAATTCACCGGATTTTTTTTTTAATATAGGTCATGACACAAAGTTGTCTGCATGTAAAACCTAGACAATTTTCTTATGGGCAGATACAGGTTGTCACCCTCCATCTGTAATCAAACGTATGCCCTCATCTATAGAACGTAGGATTAGCAACAACTCACCTGACAAAAATGTGTTTGATAATTATAGTGGTGTTTATAGTACTGCTTTAAAAATAGTGGTTACAAGTATGCTGAAATCAAGTATAGAAAACATGATAATATTGATCTAAGGAAAAGAAATAAGAATAGGAAAATCATTTGGTAGATATCCCCATTTAGCCAATTAGTCAGTACTAAGTTAGGTCAGAAGTTCTTCCATTTAATTGATAAACATTTCCCTAAAAGTAACCCTCGTAGTAAAATATTTAACAGAAATACACTAAAATTAAGTTATAGGTGCACGAATAATCTTGAGACGATATAAAGAAACATAATAATAAAATTTTAAACCAATTTAAAAATCTGGATAATAATGCACATCCTAAGATAAATACTGTTAATAATATTAACCAATGAAATTGCAAGGATTCTAACAAGTGCCCATTACAAAACCAATATTTAACAACCTCTCTTGTTTATCTAAGTACTATTTCTACAATAGAGAATCCGACTGTTGAAAAATTTTATATTGGTAGTACTAAGAATTCTTTTAAGACTAGGTGGTATCAACATATTTTATCATTCACCAATAGTACTTATAAAAATATCACATCACTTTCTAAATATTTTTGGAATTTAAAAGAAGCAAATAAAACTCTTAAGGTAAAATAGAAACTTTTAAAAAGAGCTAGAACATGTAGATCTTTAAATTAAACCTGTTTTCTGTGCATACATAAAAAATTGGAAATTATCAGATTTCCTGATAAAAACTCTTCATTAAACCAAAGAAGTGAACTGACTTCAAATTGTAGGCATAACCTACATTTTACTTTGAAGAAGGAAATTACTGGAAAGTAATTGAAACTCACCTGAAGCGAGCTGAATGTGTAATGCTCCTCATGCCAATGACACTTCCACCGAGCTTCTCTACGGCATATGATTTCACTGAATTTTGATGTGTTCCTCTCGAATTTTAAACTGGGGTCATCAGGAGAGAATGTGCACCGTTTCGGGGCCTTCCTCTCAACGGTTTCAGTTGCACACCGCCCCCCTCACTGATGTGAGGCCCCATTATAACGATATACAAGTGTTGTAGATAAACTAGTTCAGATGTGTAACGGCGAAATTAAATTTACGAAAATTCCGAAAAACGGCAAATATGTTTAAACGTTGAATTTGATAATACTTTTTCTTATAGTAATAATCAGTAAATTATATGGCTTACTATACTATTTGTATGATTCATTTTGATTTAATATTTGTTTGTATTGGTTTATTTAAAGGTTGCATATTAATTTGTCAAAGTAGTTCTGTATTTTTGATCCTTTTTTTCGAACGGTTAAGTTAAAAGGGCCTTTTATTTATCAACTACAAAATTTTATGTAAGAAGCTGAACGAGCATATAACTAGTTAGCATTATATTAAATTACCTCCCCATCTTTCGTTTTTACTTCTTAAGAAAGTTGAACGTCAGACTTCGATACATCCTAGGAAATAATGTAGCAACCTGTATCTGCCCATAAGGAAATTGTCCCGGTTTTATATGCAGACAACTTCGTATCATGTTCTATATTAAAAAGATATTTTCGGTCAATTTGAATTTAGCGTAGGTCACATTCAATTGTTTAATCACGGCAAAGCCCACAAGACTATTTTTTAAAACCTATTCTGCTTTTGAAATTAAATTAATCTTTCACTCGCCAGTAATTTAACATCGCCTCAGGAGATTCATTTATGGTGTTGAAACATAAATGCCATTATGTAGTGATTTTTAACATGTTTTAATATCCTAAAATAAATATTTAACTCTACTCTGTATTGCTCTACTCTTTTAAATTAAATGTTACAAAAAGTGGAATTATACTCCATTTATTCTCATTTTACCTGGATAAAACAAAGAATAGTGTGTGTGTGTGTGTGTGTGTGTGTGTGTGTGTAAAACCCTAGTGGAGATTTCGTAGTCGACTGAATGCTCACATTGTGGGTACGATAATGCCAGATTGTAACTTGGCATTATCGTACCCACAATGTACTGGAAAACGATGAATATGATTTTCACAGCGCAACAAATTCAAAAGAAGACATATGAGCAACAAAAAATGCCTGTTTTAGGTATTCATAGATGTTACCAAGACCGCTAACACTATAAACAGAGAACTTACGTGGAAAATATTGAGACGCTGATGCTGTGCTCAACATTTCGTAGATATCATCCAGTCGTTTCATGATGAAATGAAGATATTTATTAACGTTGCTGGTTTACTTTCAGAAGCTATCAATGTACGAAATGGTGTCAAGCAAATCTTTGTTCCTCACTTTTTCTGTTGATCTTCTCCATGCATTTCAGGACTGTGACCAGGGTGTATATATTCGATATCGTACAACTGGTAAACTACGCTTCTCTGCTAAGTCTAAGACATTCCATGCTCTTGACTGTGACATGATCACATAAACAGGACAAGAAATGTAAGCTATGATGAATAATCTTTCCCGTTTCTGCAAAGCTTTCAGCCTCACTATAGGACAAGACAGTGGTTATGTTTCAACCAGTTCCGGGTTAACTTTAATCAAACCATCAATATTTGTAGATGGCTACAAACCGAAGATAGCAGAAAAATTCACATCCCTTGAGAGAACTATAAACAGACATTGCATTCTTGATGATGACATGTATGAACGTGTGAATAAGGTGACTAAAAGATCGAATCTTCTCAAAGAAAGGTCTAAAGAAGTGCGCAAAAATGGCGGTTTACAATTCCCTTGTGCTGAACTTCTGTTTATCGCAGATGCTTAGACACCATGATGATATTCCACCAACGATGTTTAAGATCGATATTGGTATCTACTTTATAAGCCACACACCAGGCACTGTGGTCCTTGAAAAGGTCAATGTAATCATCATCGATACGTATATTCATTGACGCAGACTTCGCTGGATAGGCCATTTCATTTGTCCTGATGGCAGCAGAAAACCCAGACAAATGCACTAGGGCCAGTTGCTCTACGGTGCTCTACCTCAGCATAAACCAAAGAAGCAATTCAATGACTGATTAAAACAGCCTTTTTGCAGCATGTCATATAGTGGATCCTGAGTGGGAAACTGCTGCTTGTAATCGATATAAGTGGAGACGTAGAATTCATGAAGGCACGAACATGCAATGAGTTGGGCAAATATCAAGCGTACAGCTAAGAAATGGGAAACAATTGATTCAACATTCCAGCAGAGTATGTCTCTCCAGTGCAGACCTGGGTCATATTGGTAGACCTTTCACAAATTATGATCAGTATTATGCTGGAAATAACTCAACATATAGAGTGTGTCATAAAACCTGAAGAAACCGCTCTG